AAAAATAGGTTAAATTAAATTCAAAGGAGAATAAAAAATTAAGTAAACACGCAATGAAAAAGGGAATAAAACAGAATTTAAAAAATGTATAAGCGATAAAATTAATATAAACGCAGCCAAATTTTAAGTGTTAAAGAAAAAGGAACAAAAAACGATATTAAAAATTAGAACTGAATATTTTAATAAAGCAAAGATTAAACAATTGCAAAATATTTAAACTCACTACGTGTCCTAATGCTTCAGCGCGTAAATGCACATCTACTCTATACTAATACCTAAGGCAAACCCAGATTAAACGACGCGCTCTCTCACTTGCACACGCCTATGTAATTCGCATATTTTCTCCTACATTTTGCATGCGCGTGGCATTTATGACTATAGCCTGCTACGCATACATACACTTCATACAGCTTCTCATTATATTTTATGATTGGAAAACTAATATTTGCGTTGTATGGCTCGCCAGCCTACTTATTTGCTCACTCAGATAATAGACTGTTGCAGTGTCAGCTTCAGCCTTAATAGCAACAGAAGCAATTATGTTGTGCTATTCTTTGCACAAACAATATGTTTATTTTGTTGTATGAAACTTCTTTCTGAGCGCTGATGAGTTCTTTTTTTAATTTTTAAAAATATTTAATACTTTCAGATTGGGAATGCGCCTTAAAATCTTGTTGCCCATTTACCTCGGTTTTTATATTTAATTTCTTTTCCCATTTTCATCTGCTGTTGCTCCCATTTCGCCCAGCTGGTTTTGTATAATTTCTAACCACATTTGCTGCTGCCCCTGCTGCGTGTGAGTGTGCAGTCATTTCATTGCATTTTATTTCGTTTCATTTCTTCTCTCTTCTTACACATGTATTCCCTCAGCGCGAACGACAGGCTGCTGCATCGCATTTAATTTTAAGTTATGGCACACTTCACTGGTTCCCAACCAGCAAGCGCGAGCTCTTCAGCTGACCTTTTTTCCACTTTTGTTAGCGTAAATTTTTTTTTACTTATTTTTTTATTCTCCTACCATTCAATGCATACAATTCCCATTCGAATTCACCATCTTTATTTACCGCTTTTTATCAATGGCTTCCTCTTCCTTTGCTGCTGCTGCTGCTCCTTTCAACTTTCCTTTACAGCGCCTTGGCGCTTACGAAATGCACACTTTTTCCCACTAGCTGCTAGTGCCAGCTAGTTCCCTAGCGTATATTTGCATATTTTCTGGCGCATTCACACATGGTTGAATGCCATTGACTTTCATGTGGCTCAAAATCATTACTTTTGCCTTTTTTGAAAGTCGTGTGTAGATCTGTTGCAAATTTATGTGGGTTTCTGTGTCAACTGAAAAGTGTTGAAGTCGACTGTTTACTTTCGATTGCATACTTTTAGGGTGTGAGTTTTTTTCGGCAACTGTGGCAACGCTTGCAAGTTATGTGTCAAATATTGAATGGCGTCGACGAGTTATGTGTGCGAAGCGTTGCACACAAAGACGGCAAAAATATATGTATACTTTACGTAAATGCTGGTTATTTGGTATTCATGATTGTGCTGAAACATACATTTAGGTGTCATACATGCTGGTTGTACGTGCTCTTGCTCGTGTTAACATTGAATTGTTGAAAGCATTTCTTTGAAAATGTAGGCGTACGGATTTTGTGATTTCATTTGTCATTTGCAGGAAATTTTAATGTTACAGGGATTTCTCGGCACACATTTAGGCGTCGGCTTTAAATAGAAATCAGGTCGCCGTATGCTGTATAATTTTAGGCATTCGAATTGGTGCTACAATACTTAAATGTGAACACTTGTACGGTTTACTTTAACACCCACTTACTCGGAATAAATCTTAGAGATTTTTGGGCAATATTGGACAAGATATGAAAATTATGAACGTAATTTTATGCATATATGCTTACTTTTTAAATTCAAATTGTAATACCTTTTTTAAATAATGTGTACTCTTTATACAAAAAAAATTCAATTTTAATGGACTTTTACAATAGGGTTTCCAGATATCGGACGCGAATTCTCTTTTTTTCTTTCTTTTCCTTAGCATTTATTTTAAGGCGGAACGATGTAACACAATACAAATGAATATTCAATAACGAAGAGCACACGTCTTTTAAAAATATAGAAGGAAATAGGTATATACTACAACATTCACCCAGCGCAAATTGCTGAAAAAATTAAATGTGCCACAATAAGCAGCTTAAACGAGGCGTGCCACATTGGGAGGCCGCTTTATCTTGTATCTTCTTGTATCTCATTGTGTTTTTTGTTTTTATGTATGTATAATCTCTACCCCCTCCATATGTACGTAAACTTTCTTGTATGTGTGTGTCCCATGTAGACTTAACCTATAATGCCATGAACTCAAGAGCGGTTTATTGTAGGCTTACTACCGTTCATGTAATAACCAAAAGCGATACTAACTCACACACATCGTGCCATGCCATCGTGATATTGAACCTATAGGCCCGTCTGCATATTATTCATATGGACACTCAAAAGCGCTTAAAGATTTCCTTCCCTCCTTTTGTATATTTGTTCTCAGATTTTTTTTCTTGTATTCCGCTTTTAATTTTAGTGGAACAATATACGAAAGTGGTATAGAGAATAACAGAGAATAATATAAAGCTTAATAAAATGATGCTTGTATCGACATATGGATGTAAAAATTTTTATAGATTGGCTGGTTTCATATGCTTATAAAAAAAATAAAAAAAAATCGATTAATTTTCTTTATCTTTTGTGCAGCCACACAATATTGCTGAGGTAGCAGTATTGGCATTGTTACTTGAACTCAACTGAATGTATAGGTTGTAAAAGAAAATTAAGGGCCAACGTATATGTACACTTTCATTTGTCGCTTAGTGTGTGTATAAAGCTAAACGAGATATGATACTAGAGAAATGAATCTGGAGAGGGTTGGAGGAGAAGGTTGTAAGACATTTATTGTAAATTTAATTAAAAAGAGCGCAAGTTAAGTCAAAAGTGTAAAAAATTGCTTTAATAATCACTGTGGTTAAGAAACAAACCCAAACGGGCAGAAGCTTCTAGGAATTTTTATGCTCTCATCCCCTAAGATTGTTCTATACCGAAAAAATATACCCTTATTTTGTTTATTTTGAAATCAAAACATATTTAGCGGTCGTTCAAAGCGCTCAAAGTTTCCATGCATTTTGTATGGGAAAAAATCAACTTTTCGTAGAAATGGTATAGAATTCTTGAAAATTAATATTTTTCGATCGGAAAACTCTAGTTCTCTTCAGTTAGGAGACTTGTTTATTTACCCATTTTTTAATACTAAAGACTTTCTATTGGTCCCCCATTGCATTTTTTGGGGTTTTTGGCGGACATATAAAATATAGTTAGTATGAAAAAATGGTTAAATAAACAGTTGGGTATTATTCAGGGCTGTCATGGAATCCAATTGTTGTCGGAATTGGATTTAAAAACGACAAAAAAATTACTTTGGTGTCATGAAATCCAATGTTATCGGTTTTGTGTTCGAATCGGAATTAGTGTCGATTTTAGGTGTCACAGAAACCAATAATATCGATTTTGGTATCGGAAACAAACCAAGCAGCTAACGGCTGTTGGATTTCATTTGTTTATTAGTTTTCCTTACTTCCAGTTGGATATTTTATAAAAATGTGAGTAAAAAAATGTTTATTTTATAAAAATATTTGTTAATGTATTCATATTTTTATTCATCACTTTTTATGCTTTCCAAAAATGTCTGGCGCTACTAACGTTCCATACGAATGAGTCATGGCTAGAGCCGGGATAGAGTGCATCGACGGCTCGAATTTTTATGTCACCATCACACATCTAAATAAAAATGTACATGCATATATATAAATCAAGGCAATGTACGAGTAAAATGAAGATTCATGATTACTTACAATCAGGGCATTCATACTGAATTATTTTCGATTATAAAATAAATGTTCGTCAATACTGGGCTTAATGATTTTTATGTGTGTCCCGTCGATGCAACCAATTATTGAGGGAATTTTGTACTTTAAGTAAAAATAGTCTCTTGATATGCGCTTTTCGATGCAGTCCATTTCTAGTTTCACCCACTGAGGGCAAATGAACCGCTCCATAACCTTAAGCACATCATCTAAAATCGTTGACACCGCGCTTCTAGCTACACTTATGCTAGAATCGTTCCCGACTGATCTTTGACAGGATCCTTCTGCTAAAAATCGCAACGAAGCTGCTAACTGCAGCACTGGTGGAACTTTCGAACGTGTCAAGTGCCCTTCAATGGTGTCAAGTACCTCTTTGTTTAGGCGATAATATGCTATGAAACTGCAAATACGCTATAAATATTTATAAACGCATATTAAAAAACAATCTACTTACGCTGTCTCGGGCAGCTCAAGTGGATCGCCGCAATCTCTCAAAATTTTTCTTTTAACCTTCTCGGAACTTTCTTCTTCCAAGAACAGAAATGCGATAACTACGGATGTCATTTTGCGCTCACTTACTTTTATTTAAATTAATGAAAACAATTCAATTTTAAAAAATTGTGTCAAAAAAATGTACATTCAAATTGCCGCCATGCACACAAATGAGCAAAACAGCTGATTCGAACATCGGTTTTGTTTATGTTCGAAAAGAGCAAAACCAATCCGGTTTCATGACACCAAATGAAACCAATATTGGTTTGTAATTCCGACAAAAAGCAAAACCGACTTGGATTCCATGACAGCCCTGATTATTGGGAATCTCCTGCAGAGAAACAGAGTTTTCCGATTGAAAAATATTGATTTTTAAGAATTCTATAACATTTCTCCGAAAAGTTGTTTTTCCGTATAAAATACATGGAAAACTTTGAGTGCTTTGAGCGACCTCTAAATATTTTTTAATTTCAGAATAAAAAAAATGGGCTGTATTTTTTCGAAATTCCGACTTAACTTTTTCACATTCATTTTTGGACCACCGTAATGTACATACATGCGTAGGTCGCACACTCAAGCCACTAGCACATTGAATCTCCTTTCTTTTTTGTAATTCACTCTATTGGCCGACAACCGCTCCCCGCAAGTCATTCTCCTCATTGCTCCTTCCTCTAACCATTACCAAATTACCACGATTATTGGAAAATATTATCAGCTTTTATGACAATACCAGCTCCTGCGCTCGCTTTGACGGACTGGTTTTCCGTAGGATATTTTTTTAATTATTTTTTTTTTTAATTTTTAATATACCCTCTTGCCCTTTGTCCCAGTCGTTGCCAGTGCGCTCGCCAAACGCACTTATTGCATTGAACCGCCAGCTTTTCATTGCTATCAAAAGCAATTTACTTTTGATAATCAAGTGGCCGCTTACCCACCAGGTCGCACAACGGACTCATCCCCTTTATCTCCCTCTTTTAGTATTTCAACCCGACAAACCCAGTGCCAATGTTTCGCTGTGTGGCATTGGGTCTTCTACCATCTTTACTCTGACTTCCACCATTTTCGCGCCTACAGCCATTAAAGTGCGATTTACTTAAGGTTTTGTTGTTCTTTGCCTTCCTCTGCTTTTTACTATCTTATAAGCTTCTCTACTTTTCTGTCCACTTAATCATGCGTTCTTTTGCTTTTTTGTATGGCTTGGTGCACTTGCACTTTGGTTTTCTTTTTCTTTCTTTATTTTTTTATATTTTGGCTGGCATTATAAAGGGGTTGTCCACGGTGAGCGGCCAGCCTCGTTTCGAGTGTGCTTGCTGCACGTTTTTTAAATTATGTTGTCCCTTGTCTGCCGCCTAAGCTGACTCTGATTTCCTTCCATTGAAATCTGGCAAATCTATTGTTCTCGATTTCGAGTGATTTCAACGAAGTACTTAGTAATTGATTTTCCTACTTTTATTTTTGTTAATATCGAATTTCTATTGAATGGCGTATTAGTGCTTTGCTTTCGTTCGTTGTTCTCCAATGTGAAAATAAATAAAGGCAAAAGAGTGAAAAGTAGACAGTATTTGTTTGATTTTTATCGTTTTGAGCGTTTCATTTTACGCGCTTTTTCCATTGTAAGTAATGGAAGTACAAGTATTTGAGTTGTGGCTAGAATTTTATCGCTTT